AAAATGCACCTGACAGGGCAATGCTGAGATTAAATAAGATGACACTTAGCACTTAGTATTTGACCTGCAAAATATTATAAGCAAATGTTAATTGTATTATTATGTAATTATAAGGAAGGGAACTAATAGTTTTTAATGATAAAAGTAATGTATACTCTTCAAAAATTCAAAAGCATTAATAAAAATTTTAAATGTTAGAAGCTAGGTAAGCTACCTTCAGGAATTTTTTGCATGTAAGATATATGTATATATGCAATATATATGTAAACTTGCAAATAGATATGTGCCAGTATGTGTATATAGATGACAAAAACGTTCCACATCATTCTGCAACTACTTTCTTGCTTTAATTAAAAGATACATACATACATTCTTTTAGACCAGGACCACAAATGTATTCTGTAACAGTTCCCAGTATCCCATTTTACAAATATGTTGTATTTTCCAATCTCTGCTTGATGAATATACAGATTGTTGTCATGTTTGCAATATAAATAAAATATTTCAGTAAGTAGTTTTAATCCATGTATAATTTATACTTGTATAAGTTATTCTATCAGATTGAACCATAGAAAAGGAATTCATGGATCCATGAATTATGCCCATGTTTTAAAAAAATGTTAGCACATTCATCAAATTGCCTTCTAAAAATGTTTGTACTTAATTATTAACAGTTAGGGGAGACCCTATTTTTCCACATACTCCCAAACAACAACCTTCAGACTACTTTCAATCAATTATTAATAAAATGAGTATTTTTATATGTAAATTTGCATCTATTGACAATGAAAAATAACACAATTAAAAATTGGGCAAAAGAGAATTCTGGAAAGATGGCAGAATAGGAAGCACTGGGCAATTGTCTCCCTTGTCCAGGCAATAATGGCAATGGCAGAATCAGTCTGATGATTTTAACTATTTTGGAATTCTGAAGTCTGTTGAAAGCTTGCAATTTCTAGGGGAAGGCTTGGGAAATCAAGTGTAGTTAATTTCAATTGATTTTAGCCCTTAGAACAGTAACAGTTATGCATCTCTCACTCCCATGACAGGCAGTTTGCACATATTTTTGGAGTAATTTGTACACAACTCATAAGAGACAGGGTGGACAAAGAAAAGCCTTATCTTCCAAATATCAGTGATCTGATTGCTGATTGTTGCTTTTAATCACAGAGGTGCAGACAGAGAGGTGGGAGACCATTGTTGTTGCAAGCCCCTCCCTTCTATCTGAAGTGACTCACAGAGGATTTAAAAGACCAGCATCACATTTTTCCTCTCTTTATTTTTCTTTGTTCCCCATTTTGGGAGCTAGACATTAAATAGTAAGATAATAAGAAATAACTGCATATACAGGGAAGATTAGAAAGTGATCTTACATGCCCTGGGAAAGGCACAGACTCAGAAAAGACCTGAGAAGACCTTGAGTTTACACCTTAGGCTGATGCTTGGCACAGAGACAGTCTGCAACAATAAAAAAAATCAGTAAACAAAAACGAAAACAGCAACCCTAGGGAAAGGGGAGACTCTGATTTCCAGAGTTGCTATTATTAGATTCAAATTTTTTAGATTTAGATTCAAATGTCAAATCCATTTTTTAACAAAAAATTGTGAGTCATAAAAAAAACAGAAAAGTATGGCACACTGAAAAGAAAACAAAAATCAACAGAAAAAGATGTGATGGAAGATATACTAGACAAAAACTTTAAAAAAGCTGTCTTACAGATCCTCAGACAAATAAAGGAAGATGTGGAGAAAGTCAAGAAAATAGTTGATGAACAAGATGAAAATATTAATAGAGAGAACCTAAAAAGAAACCAAATTGAAGTTTTGGAGCTGAAAAGTATAATAACCAAAATAATAAATTTATTGGAGGGATTCAAAGGCAGATTTTCAGACAAAGTATCAGCAGAATCAAAGATAGGACAATGGAAATCTTCAAGTCTGAAGAACAGAAAAAAAGATTGAAGAAAGGTGAACAGAGCTTAAGAGACATGTGGGACATGCATTGTGGGAGTCCTGGGAGAAGAGAAAGGAGTAGAGAGAATATCTAAAGAAATGATGGGTGAAAACATCCCAAATTTGATGAAATACATGAATATAAACATCCTAGAAGCTTAATGAACTCCACATAAGATGAACTCAAGGAGACCCACAGAAATACAATACAATCAAACTTTCAAAAAACAAAGAGAATCTTGAAAGCCACAAGAGAGAATCAAGATTTCACATACAGGAGATCCACAATAAGAGTAGCAGCAAATTTCTCATTAGAAACTTTGGACATCAGAAAATAGTGAGCTGATACATTCAAAGTGCTAAAAGAAAAAACCAGCAACCAAGAATCCTATATCTAGCAAAACTGTCCTTCAGAAGTAAGGGAAAAATTAAGATATTCTCATATAAGCTAAAGCTGAGACAGTTGTTACCACTAGACTTGCCCTACAAGAAATTATCAAGGGAGAATTTCTTCAAGGTGAAGAAATCCCTTCAAATTCTCAAAGGAGAAATTCTTCAAGGTGAATTGAAAGAACATTAGGCAATAACTTGAGATTGTATAAAGAAGAAAAGATCTCAGTAAAGGCAAATACATAGGCTTATATTATTGTGCCATTTATGTGTAACTCCCTTTTGTTTTCTACATGATTTAGGAGACTGATACATTTTTAAAAATTATGATATGTAAAAGCTAGTAATTTTGCTGTATATAAGTTCACATTTTGTTTTCTACATGATTTAAGAAACTAGTGCATTAAAAGAATTATTGTTGTATTTTAGAGCATATACATATATACAGGGACATAATTTTGTGACAACCACCAAATGGGTGGGGATAGAAATACAAAAGAGCAGAGTTTTTTATGCTATGAAGTCAAGCTGGTTATAAATTCAAAGTGGTGTTAAAACTTTAGAATTTTAAATGTAATGTCCATATTTTCCACAAAAATAGCTACAAAATATGCACAAAAGGAAATGAAATCAAAACACCTCACTACAATCAACTAAAAAGAAGACAGTAATGTGGGAAATGAGGGACAAAAAAGCTATAGGGCATATAGAAAACAAATACAATCACAAGTAAACCCTTATCAGTAATTACTTTAAATGTAAATGGACTAAAGCTTCCAAACAAAAGACAGAGATTAAAAGACTGAATTAAAACATACAATACAACTACATGATGTCTGCAAGAGATGGACTTTAGATCCAAAGACACAAATAAGTTGAAAGTAAAAGGATGAAAAAAATACTCCATGCAAATAGAAATCAAAAGGAGCAGGGGTAACTCTATTAATACCAAACAAAATTTAAAAAGATGAGACAAAGAACATTATATATTAATAAAAGTTTCAATACAGGAAGAAGCTATGGCAATTATAAATATTTGCCCACATAATGACAGATCATCTAAATTTATGAAGTAAAGACTGACAAAACAGAAGGGTAATATAGATAATTCTACAGTAATAGTTGGAAACTTTAATGCTATACTTTCAATAATGGATAGAAAAGCCATAGAGAAGATGAGTAAGGAAAGAAAATACTTAAACAGGACAATAAACCACCTAGATCTAAGAGACCTAAAAACAACACTCTGCCCAACAACAACGTACACACTCTTCTCAAGTGCACATGGGACATTTTCCAGGATAGATAATGTATTAGGCCAATGTATTAACAAATTAAGTCTCAAAGATTTTAAAATATATGAAAGTATGTCCTCTGAGTACAACAGGATGAGATCAGAAATCAATAACAAAAGTAAAACTGAAAAATTCACAAATATACAGAAATTAAAGAGTTAAACAACAAATGGATCAAAGAAGAAATCACAAGGAAAATTAGCAAATACTTAGAGTGAAAAATTCTTAGCAAACTTAGTATTAAAGGGGAACTTCCTTAATTGATTAAGAACATCTACAAAAACGCACATTTCATATCACACTTAGTAGTGAGAAACTAGATGCCTTCCCAGTAAGATCCGAGAACAAGACAAGAATGTCCCTTTCCACCACTCCTATTCAACATCATATTGAAGGTCCCGGCTAATACAGCAAAACAAGAAAATGGAATAAAATATATAAAGATTGGAAAGGAAGGAATGTAACTGTTTTTGTTTGCAGGTGACTTGATTGTTTATATAGAATGAATCAATCAGAAAACTCCTGGAATGAAAAAGTGACTATAGCAAGGTTTCAGGAAACAAGGTTAATAAATATCAATTGCTTCCTTATATGCCAGCATGAAGCAATTGGGATTTGAAATTAAAAGCACAACACCATTTACACTAGTGCCAAAATAAATTTATATATAAATCTAACAAAATATGTACAAGATGTGTATGAGGAAAACTAAAAGAAAACTCTGAAAGACATCAGAAAAGAACTAAATAGATAGTCTATGTTCATGGATAGAAAATATTAAGATGTCAGTTTTTCCCAACTTGATCTATAGATTCAACATAATCCCAATAAGAATCTTAGCAAGTTATTTTGTGGATACTGACAAAATGATTTTAAAGTTTATATGCAGAGGAAAAAGACTCAGAATACTCAACACAAAATTGAGGAACAACAAAAATTAGAGAGCTGATACTATCTGACTTCAAAATTTACTGTAAAATATAGTAATCAAGACAATATTGTATTGGTGAAAGAATAGACATATAGATTAATGGAATAAAAGCATAGAAATATAGTTTTGATCATTGACAAAAGATAAAAGGTAATTTAAAAAGAAAGGGTAGATTTCTCAACAAATGGTGCTGGAACAACTGGATATCCACTTGCAAATAAAGATGTATGAACATTCATATACCAGTCTTTGGACATATGTTTTCATTTGTCTTGGATAAATACCTATGTATATTTCCTGGGTCATATTGTAGGTGTATATCAACTTCTCAACAAACTGCCAAACTAACCACCATGGTTTAATTTCAAAATAATTGTGCTAAGTGAAAGGAACCAGAGAAAATAATGCATATATTATGATTTCGCTTATAGAAATTTTTGACATTCCCAACTGACCCATAATGGCAGAAGACAGATCAGTATTTGAGAAAGGAGAAGGATTACAAAGAGGCACAAAATCTGGGGGTATGTTTGATATGTTCATTGTCTTGATTGTGGCAATGGTTTGATAGGTGTAGAAAATATACATATATATACATATCAAATTGCACACTTCAAATATGTACAATTTACTGTATGTCAAATATATCTCAAAGTTGTTTCAGCATAATAAAACACTGCTTTCAAATTAGCAATACAAGTTATTAAACATCTAAGAGCAAATGTAACAATAAATATCTAAGAGCAAATGTAACAATAAATAAATACCTAAGAGCAAATGTAATAGTAAATAAATATCTAAGAGCAAATGTAACAATAAATGTGCAATGCCAAAATTACAAAGTTTTTTTGAAGGACATAGAAAGATCTGAATTAATTGAAAAAGAATTAGCACAATAGCATATCTTTTCATATATAGATTCAGCATTTTTGAATTTAAATTCTTCTTTCAATTAATATATTAATCCAAAGAATCAATCAAATTTTTCTTTTTTTCCATGGTGTTGGAGAAATTGACAAATTGATTTTAAACTTCATCTGGAAAAGCAAATTTGAAACTCTATCCAAGAAATTTTTGTAAGAGAAAAATAATGATGAGGGGGTTGCCTTCTCTCAAAACATATTTTCACTCTGCAGTAATCAAAACAGTGTGATACAGAAATAGAAATTGAAGAAAGATCCATAGAAACATGAGAATTCAGCATGCCAAATTTAAGTTGACTTTTAAAATAAATAGCTTTCTATTTGGAGTGCTTAGCTATAGAGTATGGAAATGGTAGTTTTTGAGTTTAAGAGACTTTAGTTTTCAGTTTACAACTTTCAGTACTTTTTAAAATAATAAATATGGATTACTTTAAAAATATACATAAATACGAAGTAAAAAAGACCAAATTCAAGCTAAGCCACCAGATTAATTATTGTTATTTTAAGGATTGCTAATGAAGGAAATGCTACAATTTTCCCATGAGACCCTTTTCAGGTTTCCAAAATGTGTTATAAAAGGAGATCAATCCTTTCAGACAAAGAGAAATATAGTCTACTGTAAGTTCTAATACCCATTTGTTTTAGGTTAAAAAAATGTGTTCTAGAGATCTTTATTTATCTTCTAACATTGAGTTTCCAGATTGTGGATAAGTCTTTAAAATATAGGTAAAGGCTGAAACAACATTGATTTCTAACTAAGCACCAGAAAAGAAGTCTATAAATAGAATTTTTCATGGCTGCGGGGTTTTATATTAAAAAAAACCTTCATAACTATGGGTGATAATATGCAGAAAAAATTTCATTAGCCAATTATAATTACATTGGTCATCATACCAAATAAAATGTCTTACATCACATCATATATATACATAAATACATATGTGCATATATGCATATTAGCAGATATTAAAAAGAGTGCTGTGGATCTATATACATTGCCATGGCAGGACTTTTGAGGTATAATATTGGGTGACAGAAATAAATAACAGAATTGTAAGTATAATGTGATCCAATTTATTAAAGAGGAAATCATATGCACACGTGTGTGTAGTATTGTAATTAAATGTATTTAAACACATATAAAAATACTTTAGAAGATGCATTCAGAATTCCTTTGAAGAGAGTAACCAGAACCTTTTCTCTCTTTTGTGGAATTATTTGAAGTTTTTACAACAAATGTACTTTACTTTTGTAATTTAAAACTTTGAATCAAAAATTTAATGGGGGAAGTGGATGCTTCTTAATAGATGTTGGAATAAATTGACTTGCATTTAGAAAAGTAGATTTGATTAATACTTCATACCATATAGAAAAATAAATTCCTCTGGAATAATATTTACTGAATATTTAATTCTGTGACAGGTACTACGCTAGGATTTTTCTACATACTCATTTAATTCTCACGACCAAGAGAACGTGCAGTATAGTGCATTCCATTTATAAGAAGAGCTGGGATTTTACATACGGAAGAGTTGGCATTTTAATGCACATGCTCCTTTCTGTTCCTCCCTTTCTACTTCAGTGTTGGCTGCAATTTCTAAGGATGTCAGAAAAGTATAAAGTAGTTTCAGATAAAATATAAAGCATCCTGTTGGTTTTTGTTTTAATTGACCCAGGAAAAATTCTTAAACTTCCTTAGAAAAGATAAGAAAGAAAAAAATCAAACTTATACTCTATATCCTCATATTGTCATTTCACTGCTGGAGTGCAGTGTATTTCAAATAGTATGGGATTCACTGATAGAAGGATTCTGATTACCATAATCTCTAAGTGGGAGATCTAAATTTGACTCTGACATTGAAGCCTTCAGTCATGATGTTATGACATGAAATCAGAATGCAGTATCATGCAGCGTTCTGTAAATAATCCTGTAATTACATCTTCTAGGCTTTTCTAAACTACAACTGTTTTCCCATGTGGCAACTTGTACTAGCTGGCATACTCAATTTATTTCTCTTTTATTATAAAAGTACTATGTGCCCATTGTTAAGTCTTTTCTTTCACATGTATGGTTAATATCCACTTCCAAAGTGTAGAAACCTTTTAATGTCTATCCTCTTAGTTAAAAATCTAGGATGGCAAGGATTATGTCTATTTGTTTATCACTATATCCAAAACTCGGCTTATAGTAGTTTTTCTCTTTTTTTCTTTTTTCTTTCTTTCTTTCTTTCTTTTTTTTTTTTTTTTTTTTTTTTTTTTTGAGACAGTCTCACTCTGTCGCCCAGGCTGGAGTGCAGTGGTGTGATCTCGTCTCACTGCAAGCTCTGCCTCCCGGGTTCACGCCATTCTCCTGCTTCAGCCTCCTGAGTAGCTGGGACTACAGACAACCGCCACCATGCCTGGCGAATTTTTTATATTTTTTGGTAGAGACGGGGTTTCACCGTGTTAGCCAGGATGGTCTGGATCTCCTGACTTTGTGATCCGCCCGCCTCAGCCTCCCGAAGTGCTGGGATTACAGGTGTGAGCCACCGTGCTCAGCCAGTAGTTTTCCAATAAATATTTAAGTGACACTTTTTTTTGCTTTGTTTCCTATTCTAGAAATATACCAATTGTAACATAGTCAATAAGAAATAATTTAATCACATTTATTGTATTATCTTCATTATCTCTGAATATTTAGCCCTCATGTGAAACAGTTAATACCAAGAAACTAATCCACCTTCTCTGTTTTGCCTTGTGTTGCATTGTTAATACTTTCCCTGTCAGTTTTAAGAAATGTATATTCATTCAAGAGATTAGAAAGCTGTCAGGGAAACAGAACTGTGAATCAGAAGATGTGATTATCTCTATACCCTGCCAACCAGCCACGTGACCTTGATGATAACTTCCATGAGGGTAGGTTCTCAATTTTCTTCACGATCTACTCAATATTTGCCCAGCACACAGTAGTAAACTGGCAATTGTTCAATCGTGTATTGGTCTTAAAAAGAAAACTAAAAGCCAATCGTACCTCATATTTTTAACCTAAAAGTTGGCGTAGTTCTTAATGCCATACTCAAATCATGTAGATATAATGGTCATTGAGGTAATTAATGAGTAAAAAGCCTCTGAAAGGGGATGAAGTTTGTAAGAACCAATCTAAGCAGGCTTGAGAACATTCTAACTCCCTGTACCCCATAGCCAAAGCAGCAGGCATTTCTATAGGGCATTAGAGCTGTGCCCCAGAATGTGAAAGAATCTCACTGTGGGTACCACATCTTGCCTTCCATTTTGAGCCACCTAAACTCAGATTTTGTGAGCCAGCTTCTTTCATGAAATCTGTATCACCTTGCCGTGGGTTTTTAGATTAACTACACTTGCCCAGTTCTCCTTATCAGTTTAATTTCTGTTCCTCTCTCCATTCCCACCCTGTTCAACTAATTTTCTCTGACAGCACCCTGTCTTTCGCTGACTTTCTCAGCCTGTCCTTGCTTATACCTGCACCCAGGCCAGGGTCCTAGACTCTCACACAATATAAGAAATTATTAAACTCGGTCCTTCACCAAACCTCTGGGCTGCCATGCTTCAAATCTATGTCAGTGAGAAGACGTTCCACGGAGGACAATATAAAGAATAGCATTAATTCTGCTGGACCTCCCTTTTGGTACTGGAGCCAGCAGTACCTGGCTATTCAACCAACACAAGTGGCAGCTCACAGGGTGCTGTGGTGTTTATGCTGATCAACAACATCTGATGGACCTGGAGCTTGAGCATCCATCCACTCCAGGGGTAGGACTCAAAATATTTACTTACCTCTGAATGCTTTCTGGACTCTACTTTTTCTGGCATGGTTACATCTTTGCCTCTAAAGAAATCATGCAGGGTTTGAAATAAGGAGATGTTGAAAATTTTACCTTTCACTTTAGTCAAGTGCCTTCATTTAATTTTAAGGTTAAAAGATTATTATTCTTTGTTGGGCAGCAACTTTATTAAATTCTTTACTAAACATTTAGTATGGATTCCGATTCTGTGTGCCACAGCAACTTAAAAGCATTCCCTAAAGTGTTTTGCCTTTTTTAAATGAATGCCTTGTCTGAGCCTTCATTTTATCATCTGTGAAATGAGGATACAGATGGCAGCTGACATTTACAGAGGGTTTGCTATGCCCCATCCTTGCTCAGCAATTTACAACAAAAGGAGCTCTAGCCAAATGAGAAGGTCCTTCCCCAGGAGGTCATTACTGTCCCCACGGCTCTGAAGGGACAGGGAGGACACCGGTTGAGGTTCAGGATTCTGCTTACCTACTTAACAATATGTCAAGTCTCTTGATATGTAGAGCAAACATAGATAGTCTTTGAGTAGCAAAGGTTGACTTTGAGAGAAACAAGGGCAATAGAAGAGTTAGAGAGAGCAGTGGTTATTTTCCATTTAATACTGTGTTGGGGAACTTATTCTCCTCCCACATCTTTGTTCCAAAGTAGGTTGCCAGTCTTCCATGTCCTCCAAACACACATGTTGGTGCAAGAGTAAACATTTGAAGGGAAATAAAATACACAGCTATTTTCCTGTAGCACACTATGGATGGGGTGAAAGCACAGGACTCTCACATTTATTAGACTTATTCGGTTTGATCTGAACCAGAAGCTACAACTGACCATTTGTTGCCTTTTTTCTTCTCGAACACATATGAGCCTTTATTTTTTATTAAAGATGAAAATATCTCCTGGAAGTAAATCAAATGCAGTATTAACCTTGTCATCCTGGACTTTGTAGGTTTTCTCAAGGCTTTGAAGTAAAGATGCAAGTCAACACACTGACTATAGTCAGATCTACCCCAGAAAGCTATTTCCTGGAGAAAGTCACATCATACATACCTGCAAGAGAATGATGGTCACACAACACACACAGTAATGTCAAGGAATAAAAAATTCTCATACTGCTGTTATTGTTTTGTGGTTAATCATCATTCAGAATGACATACATTGTTTTATGAACAGCCCTTCAATAATAATATTTATTATGAATGGTTCATTACAATTATTTCTGGTCCATAATATCTAGCTCTCTACAAAGGTATTAGAGTGAGGTGAATAGTGTCTCCCCCAAAATTCATGTCCATCCAGAACCTCAGAATGTGACCTGATTTGGAAATAGAGTTTTTGCAAATAAAACTTGTTAATTGAAGATGACATCAAACTGGATTAGGGCAGGCCTTAAATCCAATGACTGGTAAATATATAAAAAGAGGGAGAGGACACACAGAGATACACATGGAAAGGAATCCAGAGATTGGAGGGATGCAACAGGTCAAGGAATGCCACATATTGCTGGGAGCCACCAGAAGCTAGGAAGAGAAAAGGATGAATGCTTCTCTACAGCCTTCAGTAGGAGCATGACCCTGCCAACACCTTGATTTCAGACTTTTAAACTCCAGAAACTGGGACAATGAATTTAGATGTTAATGGTAATTTTTTATGGCAGCTATAGAAAGCTAATATAGGTGTCAAGTGTCTCCCTTAATCGGATTTGAGTTTGAACCTGGTTCCCTCAATTATAAACTAGAGTCCTTGAGCAAGTCACACTTCCTCTCAAAATTTACAGCCTCATCTATAAAACTGAGATAATGATACTGACCTCAGGTTGCTGTAAATATTAAGTGAAATGATACATGAAAAGCTCTTAGTAAAATGCTAGGCATGAAAGCAGTGCTGAATACAGCAATAGTAGCATCAGCAGTTGCTATTATTGTTCAGTGTGACAATAATGCCAGTGCAAAAAGACCAGATATTATAATCATCTTGTAGAATGAAAGTGAGTCTTATACCTCCCCTATAGACTTAAAATCTTTTACCTGAGTGATATGAAAAACAAAAAATAAAAGCAGGTCTTTGTTATCCTAACATGTTGGTAATCTGAACCCCTTGCCATATCCATCTCAAACTCTGAATTCACTTGCTTTCTGGTCCCTACTGTATATACTTGATATTCATTCTTGTTCTTATGATCTTCGTTAGTCTCTGACCTTCAGCACAATTTCTATAGCTTTGACCTTTAGCTTCCCAATTTTACTATAATGAGATGCTAACTTTGGTATTCCCATTTCCTAACGTGTTGCTCTCTATAGCTGCATATCAACAGCAGGTGGTAGAGAAAAATCCAGAAGGGCAATTAGAGCATGATTATCTGAGGGCTTAGGCAATAGAAAATTAGGTAACAGCTCAAGGAGGCAGCAGCTGTGGAGACAGGCTACAGGGAAAGTGATTGTAGGTTTGTGTTTTGGTCATCTGTTACTAGTAGACAGTTGCTTTAAAGTGTTCCTGATCCCCTGGGTTTTAGATAAACCTAAGACCAAGTGGAAAGAAAAATGGATAAATATATGTGATATGAATGATATGTTTAGATGTCACTTTAAAATATAATGTAATTTGTAGAATCTTAGTGCTTCAGTGGACTCTAGAAAATCGCATAGCCCAGAAATTCTTTAATCAAAGTTTAGAATATTTTCTATACTACAATGTCTCATACATACACACACAAAATTAAACATACAGTTTTTCATAGACTGCCTGAACTTGGGAACTAGACATCACATAAAGAACCCCTGACTAGACCTAAATATTGGTGTGTTTAAATGAGGTAATGTAAGTCTAGGCAGGATGCATAATCTGTCCAGGATAGTATGAAGTTTAAGTGACAATGCCAAGACCAGAACCTGAAATTCCTAAATGCTGGCTCTGCAGGATATTGGTAGAAAAAGAAAAAAAAAATGATCTCGATTTTAGTCAGATTAACCTGAATGAGCCAGAGAAGCAATTTTGGGTGATAAGGGGAGGAAGTTTAAGTCTTTGGTTCTTAAATGGGCAGTGATGCAGTAAAAAGTTGGCTTGGCAGATCTTAAAGGAATGCTTATAGTTCTTGTAGACCAGTGGAGATCACCAGTTAGTGCATCCAAGAATACTTAAAATTGAATGACTCCATTTGAATTCCTGTGCAATCTGAAGCATAAGAATTTCGTTTGTTGAGAGAAAGGTGTATTTTGAAAAAAAAAATAGTTCCTCATTTCGATTTTCTCATTAGCTTCCTGAGTATCTTTAAGCAAATCATCTAACCAAGTCATCTATGAAATAAAAGAGGTTTTACTGGGGGAAGCTTAAGGCACCTCCTAGCTTGAAAACGTAATGACCCAATGATTTGTTTACTGCGACTTAAAGAGATCTGAAGCTTTGCTTGTATTTGTTTGCTGATGCATATGAGAAATGTTCAGTCCAGGAGACACTGGTTTCTGCAGTAAATGTAATGTCAACTGGGCTGCATTTCTCCCATTACTGGAGTTTGCTTCTCAGAACTGTAAGTGATGTCACATGGCTGTTCGTCTACGCACAGCAAGACACTTCCAACAGTTTCATCTTGGGAGTGTGATACTCAGTGTCCTACAAGGACTTGTAAAAGAAGGATTCCTGAAATATTGTATCATCAATGGTTCAATATTTACCTAGTAAAATTGAAAAAGAGCATCAAGATGATCTATAGTCACTTTGCTCCAAGGTACAAATGTCATATTGGAATAAAATCCATTACTGTAATAAATTTTATCAGTTTCCCATGGGGGGAAGCTCTGTTAGGTGAGTGTGGACCCAGACAGTGGCTCCTACAGGAAGCCAAAGGGGAGTTGTTGGCTCATCATTTGATATTAATGAGGCATCTGCTTCATAAGATACTATGCAGAAAGGAAATATATTGCATGAATTCTCCCACTATGAGCTTTCTCTATGATGGCCTAGCAGCACAGACTTAGTACAGCCCTAAAAGCAATGGCATAAAAGAGGAATTTGTCGTATTTGTTTTCATATAAATATATTTGGGAGTAGCTCCCAATACAGTTTTTCAGTACATGAAGGAGTGATGAAAAGAGGTGTTTTATTTTAAATTGAAGACAGCATGGGACAGGATTTTCCATTTCAGTGTGCAAGATCTACATTAGATCTTGCACCTATTTTATTATACCTTTTACCTATTTAATTATAAAGCTTATGATTGCAGAACATCTGCAGAACTATGTTCTTTGGAGCTTTTTACATATTATACTGATCCATAAAACTGGGATTGGTGGAACAATGGTATTGACATTATAACAAATCAGGTGATGAAAAAACATGGCTTACAAACATGGCTATGTGAAGCTTATGATTCAGTATTTGCAATAGAAAGGTTTTTTGTTTGTTTATTTTTAAAATTGTCTGCCCATGCCTAAATTAATTGAAGCACAGGGACACTGAAAGGTGAAAACTATATCTGAGCATTAGTTGCCATTATATCAAATATATATATGTATGTTTATATATATATATCATATATATCAGATATATATATGTCTGCTTATATATCTGATATAATGGTATGTATATATGGTAACATGAAGACGATTGAAAGTTGACTATATTCTGATCTTTCTTTTTGCTGCTTCAATGTAGATTAGGTCTATGAGTTACCAACCCAGGGGAGACTGGAAGTGGATTCCAGTCTGGATTTTGTTTCCATGGAAACTCATCAGCAACCATAGCTTGTTCTACTTCTTTTTCTGGCTGTTTAACTGACTTAGGTATTTATCTTAGTGTAGTGAAAAAGACTTGACTATTTGTAGGAGTTACGCCAAGTGCAGAGAATCTGAGGAGTAAGAAAAGGTTGATTTCCAAAGGGAAGCAGTTATTAGAAATAAGGTTTTTTAAAATGCTAATCTTGCCAATACTGATAGATTTAGAAAAACCCAGGTGTGATTAGATTGTCATTTAGCCAGAGAATGCAAGAATATCTACGTCTCATCTACTGCTGATCAGTAGTCTTCACAAGGTCCCTGAAAGACAGGGAGGCACTGAAGGCCCTCCAGCCAGCTAAGAGTTCCCATCAGAGTTTAGTTCCCAAACTAATGCAAGGGGCTGAAAAGCAGCACCATATGGGGGACCTATTACTTCCTAAGCAGCATCAGAATTAACAATGGGAAAAGACTTCACAGTCTATATCACAGCCCTGGCCCAGACGATACGTCGGACCTTAGCACTCTACTGAGAGAGATCGTGAGGTAATCACTCTCCTAGTAACTTGTCCAGACAGACAAAGAAAGTGAGAAGGCGTGGCTCCGAGACTTGGTGGTGAGTTGCAGGGTAGGAAAGAGGATCTCCATGAGAGACGACTTGGCCTTAGGCTGGTTCATCATTCTAGAAGAAAGGACAGAAATAAAAGAAAAGCTTGCCATACACAACTTGCTAAGGTTTTGATCTCTCATGACTCCTCCCACCAGTGAAAAGACACTGTCTGAACCCAAGAATCTGAAGCATGAGTGGGGAGAAAAAAGCAACCTGTATAACTTCCTCTAGAAGCAAATGAGAATTAAACAGTCAATTCCCATTTTCTTCTTTCCAACTTGCCATTATAACTTGCCATTGACAACTTAGCCATCCTGAGGAGGAGTCCACTGACTCGGAGACACCCTGAATGTTGAATCCCAACGGGACATTGGAAATCATCAGGCCTCCTATGCGTTTATGCCCCAGTGGTAACTTGCGTAATGTCACAGGGTAGTGGCAAAACCAGGACCGGGACTCTGGTGCCCATTCCTGGGGCCTGTTGCCCACACATGGCTGTCCTCACTCTACTTCTGTGGTTTCGTGGGCTCTTTCTTGCCACACTTTCCCCCTCATGTTCACTTGTTTGTTTTAATGTGGTTGTTTTCTGGGTTCTGAGGGTAGCTTGGCTAAAATGTTGTTATTTGTTTAACAACCCAGATTCTGTTCAAAGTAGGACTTCGGTGTTGCTATTGTAGTTTAATTCATTCTTTATTTTAAGTGTATGGGGTAAATAAAAATCAGAATTAATGGCCCAAGGAACCCTGTTTAATACGTATTTATACAATAAGATGATAGCACCTTATTGCTGTGAAGAGGCAAAGAA